CTTCTGGGTTTAGGTAAATATAGACACTGAATGATGTTCTATGCAAATGTTATTGGTCCAAGCTGGGATCCTGTGCCCAGCTGGCTGCACTAGCTGGGGATGATGGGACTTGTAGTCCCAAACACCTGGATTCTTGAGGGCACCAGGCTAGGGAAGGCTGGATTAGATAGGCAGACACATATATGAAGTATTCAGAGGTTATTTCTCCCCCAGTATTCATTGTTACAGCAGTCCTCCCAAAGTTCTGAAACTGAAGAGATCTGAGGAGGGGAAACGACAAGAGCCTCGCTGTCGGTTCACTTCCAAAATGATTTCCAAAAAGAATTAAGTAGTTTAGGCAGAGAAATACCTTTTGGAACCAAGTGGTAAAGAACGTTGTGACATCATTTTATTTTATTTTTTTGCAGGGGGAAGAGGAAAGGAAGAAGAAATACAGAAACTGTTTTGTTGAAATTGGTTTCAGCTAAATAACACACCTAGCATATCCTCCTCCTCCTCCTCCTCCTCCTCCTCCAGAATCAATGAATTTCCTCTCTTGCCAGCATGTCACTGATGTTTCAAAATTAAGAAAGCCACTCACTGCACTCTAGGGTTGTACTTTTTAAAAAGGGCTCTTTATTTTCCTACCTTTGCTAGCTGACCATTCAAACGAGCTGATCATATTGAACAGAATTTCTATCTGAATGCTCACTTTGGGAGCCTCGTTTCAGCTACAATAAATAAATAAGTAATAAAACCCTGAAATCATATTTTAATCATCTGTTTACCGGAGATTCCCGCCCCTCCCCCCAAAAAACCTGGTCATGTCACAAAACAACTCACCACTGGTCACAGTGGAAGTGCTTCCTGCTGATTCAAGAATGCTAGCTTTCGGTTTTCAACATACATTTGAAAAACACTCAATATCAGAAACTGCGTATCTATATAATATATACATATGCATATATTGACAATAGCTATGTTTTGCCCAGTGCCGGAAACAAAATCAGAAAAAAAACCCTGAAGCGTAAACAGCTTAATAAGATATTGGGGTGGAGAGATGGACAGCTCAGGCTTCAGTCAAACTAAAAGCTATTTAATGCTCTGAAACTGAAACTGCAGTTTCAAACATCCACAGCAGCGGTGACTTCTGTTATGACTTTGACTGCTGAAGCTCGAGCACCGATCAGGGTTGTTTTTTTTTATGACTTAGCATTTTGCTGTTACATCTGAAATGAGCCAAAGTGCCACCATTGCCACTACTCAAAAGGCGCTTTTGGTTTTTGCGGCACTCCAAGAAACCTGCCAAACCTGTCCCCCCAGAGTCTACAGCGGCATGGGTGCTCACACTGCAAGTCGCTTTGGCTCCCATTAGCTCTTGTTTCCAGCCAGAGAGAAAACACGTGGAAGGAGCTGTTATAGAAGAGAAGAAGAAGAGTTTGGATTTGATATCCCGCTTTATCGCTACCCGAAGGAGTCTCAAAGCGGCTAACAATCTCCTTTTCCCTTCCTCCTCCACAACAAACACTCTGTGAGGTGAGTGAGGCTGAGAGACTTCAGAGAAGTGTGACTAGCCCAAGGTCACCCAGCAGCTGCATGTGGAGGAGCGGGGAAGCGAACCCGGTTCACCAGATTATGAATCTACCGTTCTTAACCACTACACCACACTGGCTCTCTATACCATTTGAGCTGCTCCCCTGCCCATTATCCAAGAAGACTGTGTGTTCTAGAAAGAGCAGAGTATCAACAGGTTGCAGGAAGGTTGCCCTGCCTTTTTTGCCGCCCTCCCTCCGTAGGCGCACTACAGGAATGAAAAACCACTGAGTCAAATGATCCAGAAAGTTGGACCTGCCATTTGCCCCAGTCTGGGAGAGAGAAGTGAGGCTTGCCCCCATCCAAAACACACCACAAGCTTCTTTAAAAACCATACAGTGTGATGGCAGGTATTTTGCCTTGCAAGCCGAAATCAAGGGGTAAGTAGTTTACCATGCTCAATTCTCAAGAATGGCAGTAAGCAGATATCCAGGGTGAAAGGGCCAGGATTTTAATTTGATAGGTGGAAGTCTTATCTCTGCATTTCACTCAGGATCATCATTTGAAATCAACGATTAACTAGCGCAGCCTTTGTGCTTGGATGGTCTAGGTGCCATTTGCACTGCACATCAAAAGGACTGTGATACTACTTTGACAGTCATGGCTTTCCCTAAAGAATCCTAGGAACTATAGTTTGTTAAGGGTGCTGAGAGTTGTCAGGAGGCTCCCGTTCCTCTCTAGGGTTGCCAGATCAGGAGCAACCTAGGCCCTGAAATTCCAGGGCCCAAACCTGAGACCTAGGAATGGCCCTTGGTGATGTCATGGGGGCAGGTCCTGGAGATGGAGGTTAATTGGAAGAGGGGAGCAGAGGAGGGCAACCTCCTCAGAGTGCAGCCAGCTCCTGCCAGGCTGAAGCCTACAAGTTGCATGCAAATTCTTCATAGTGATTTTGAAAATTGTTATTAGATACTTTTGCCCACCTGAAAATTCAGGCCTTCCACCAGCCACCTGGAAGGGTCGAAGCAAACTTAGAGACTTCAGGTAGCTGTGCCCCTGAAGGACCAGGTGCGCAGTCTTGGAGTCATTTTGGACTCAGAACTGTGCATGTCAATTCTGTGTCCAAAGTAGCTGTCTACCAGCTCCATCTGGTACGCTGGCTGAGACCCTACTTGCCCACAAACTGTCTCACCTGTTTTTCGCTGGCTAGGTTCAATTCTAATCCTTCTAAGGATTTGCCCATGGGATGCCCACCTGGTGGAAACTCTAGCTCACATGGCCCTTAAATGTAAAATGTATGATGATTTCTGCCAACAATTTCTAGACCATCTATGTATTCCAATATGGAAAACAGAGACGGAGGTTATATGCTTCTTATTACAGGGGAGAGACCAGGAGCTCACTAAGACAGTAGCTAAGTTCCTCTATTTGATTTTTTTTGTCGCTGAAGTACGCTACAGGATTCTGCCCTTGCAGGAGCTCACTAAGACAGTAGCTAAGTTCCTCTATTTGATTTTTTTTGTCGCTGAAGTACGCTACAGGATTCTGCCCTTGCTGGAGACCCACAGAGATGAAATAGATTGCTCGCCTCTTCTTCCCTTTGGCAAATGACTGTACTGTTGAAATGGTGACAAGCACAATTCAAAGTGTTGGTGCTGACCTTTAAAGCCCTAAATGGCCTTGGCCCAGTATACTTGAAGAAGTATCTCCACCCCCATCACTCAGCCCAGACACTGAGGTTCACCTCTGAGGGCCTTCTGGTGGTTCCCTCACTGCGAGAAGCAAAATTACAGGGAACCAGGCAGAAGGCCTTCTTGGTAGTGGCACCCTCCCTGTGGAACACCCTCCCATCAGATGTCAAGGAGATAAAGAACTACATAACTTTGAGAAGACATCTGAAGGCAGCCCTGTATAGGGAAGCTTTTAATGTCTGATGTTTCACTATATGTTTTATACATGCTGTTAGCTGCCCAGAGTTGCTGGGGCAACCCAGCCATGTGGGCAGGGTATAAAATTATCATTATGAATTATTGTCAGGTAAGACCTGGAGGCCTGGGAACCCTATTCCCCTAATGCACAATGTGTTCGCAACCCTTACAACAGCTGCAAGTTGGCATCATTAATTATTACATCCCAAGATAACAAGGAAAGTTTGATTACTCGCCAGCATGGAACCACTTCTAAAAGTGCCAGTTCCTCAGGCCAATGCACTCAAGTGGGTAATCTGGTCCCGCCTTGAATCTGGCGTGGTAACCAATCATCAGATCTTGGAGAATATTGTTGCGTGTTAAACTTGGGGTACTTTGTTGTGGTGTTCTGGTTTTTCTTTTTAAATGCAACCATTTATCAATTCAAATGATAAATCATCAGAACTTTCTCCTGTGATACACTTAATGCCACTCTCACTGCCCAATTGGCCCCCAAAGGTTCATCACAGCAGCAGAGACACAAGATGACATGGGGAAGAGAAGTGGATTCCATGGAGCCAGATCATACCTGGTCATTCACAGGACACACGGCTAGGTTTTGTTCTTCGCTGGAGCAGGCCACCCGGATGTACTTCAGCCAGTTCCCGTTTCCTGTCTGGTTGGCATCGACGCAGAATTTCTCAGTGCCCAGGTCATCGCCAATCTGAAAGAGAAAGCAGTGTTAAACAACCAAATTGGAAGACCATAAGCCAGGGGTTCGGTAGCACGTCAAAGTGCAAGTAGATAAATAGGTACCGTTCCGGCAGGAAGGTAAACAGCATTTCTGTGTGCTGCTCTGGTTCGCCAGAAGTGGCTTAGTCATGCTGGCCACATGACCCGGAAGCTGTACGCCGGCTCCATCGGCCTGTAAAGCAAGATGAGCGCCGCAACCCCAGAGTTGGCCACGACTGGACCTAATGGTCAGGGGTCCCTTTACCTTTACCTTTAAGCCAGGGGTTGGGAACAGCTTTTCAGCTGGAGGGCCGCATTCCTTTCAAAGCAATCTCCAGAGGGCCACATGCCACCAAGGTCAGAAGTGGGAAGAACAACCGTGGCAAAAATTTACCTTTGTGCAGCAGTTTGCTTTGTACACATACCCACACATGGATCCCCTCTCTATTCTCCATCCATGTAAGCATGGGGCATTATCAAGAGTTCAGGGACACATTCAAATGCTCAAGGAGAATCTGAAGCAGTGCTAGTGAGGGCTGTGGACTGGGGAGAATTCTGAAGGCCAAATGGAGGGGGTTGAGGGCTGCATTGGGCCCCAGAGCCGGAGGCTCCCTACCCCTGCTATAAGTATTTAAGTAAAGACATAAGCAGGGTGGGAGGGAGAAAAGCAGCCCAACATTTATTGGCCAGGTCAAATTGGTCTGGAAAAATCAGTTGCGTCTTAGAACTCACAACCTCTCTTGGCCTTGCTTCCTTTGTGCAAACTGAGAAAGTGCATAGTTCCTGCCCACAGTGACATCCACAATTTTGATTCCTCTGGCAAGGGAGCCATGCTGCCATAACCATACCAAAGGCCATAGCTCCATGGTAGAGCATCTGCCTTGAATGTAATGGCTCCAGAGTTCAATCCCTGGCATCTCCAGGTAGGGCTCAGAGAGGCCTCTCTCCCTGAAATCCTGGAGAGCTGCTGCCAACCAGGGTAGACAATACTGAGCCAGATGGACTGACTACATGTTCCTATACTGTGGGCTGCATCCCTGAATCAAGCAATTTATGCCCGAGTTTCACCCTGAAATCCTGCACACAGAAGGGCTTATGTGGAAAAAAATGAATAAGCCAGTAGGTGGGTTGCTTATGAAAACCAGCCCCTTGAACAAAGTATTTCTGGGCATGCACAGAGTGCCTTTAACCTAGCTACAATTGCAATCAGTCACTACACATTTGGGTTTGAGGTCAAAGTGTGTGACTTCTAGGCAGAGATGGATCCAGATTCCTCCCCCCTTTTAATAATAATAATTTATTATTTATACCCCGCCCATCTGCCGAGTTTCCCTAGCCACTCTGGGCGGCTCCCAATCGAGTGTTAAAAACAATACAGCATTAAATATTAAAAACTTCCCTAAACAGGGCTGCCTTCAAATGTCTTTTAAAGATAAGATAGCTGCTTATTTCCTTCACATCTGAAGGGAGGGTGTTCCACAAGGCGGGTGCCACTACCAAGAAGGCCCTCTGTCTGGTTCCCTGTAACCTCACTTCTCGCAATGAGAGAACCACCAGAAGGCCCTCGGCGCTGGATCTCAGTGGGGCTGAACGATGGGGAGGGAGAAGGACATTGAAACAGAGAATGGGGTTGATTAAAAGGCAGCATGCTTCATTGCCAGTCTAAGCAACCTTCCCCAACCTGGTGCCCTCCAGATACTATTAAATTCCACTGGCCCATGCTGATAGAGCCAATCACCTGGGATTGTGGGAGACGGAGTCCAGCAACATTTGGAGGGCACCAGGTTGCAGAAGACTGGGCAAAGGCAACTTATCTCAGCTGAAGCCTAAGAACAGAAGCCCAGTTGTGATTAACAGAAGCCCTGATGACAGACATGCTCACAGATACTTAGAAGATACAAATGTGCAAGTGTGGGAAATAAAATGATGGCGGTGACCTTTTAAAAATTCGCGGTTGTTTTCTGTTTCTCTCTCTTTCTCTTCTCAAAGAGCCTCTACTTTCTTCACACAGGAAAGCTAGCAAGTTATGTGAGAGTATCTGCAGACAGGTAGCAAAGATTTTTCACACACACCCTCTCCTTTCTTTCTTTTTTGCAGAGGCAAGTGAGTGTTCTCAAGAGCTTGGGTACTTCCCCAGTGTGATTACTGCAATGTGGTTCAGAGTTGTGAGTACGGTTAAGGAACTGCAGCTGGGATAGGACATGACTCCCAGGCTATTGGCTGGGGTTTGGTGCATGGTGGTTAGGGCATCACTGTTGTAAACCTGGGAGGTTGTGCAGGAGCAGGACTGTTTGAAATTGGGACCCAGACAAGTCTGGCCTGGATCCCTTTGTTAGACAAACACAGGGGATGTATTGCATGGGGTGTTAAATAGATAGCCAATTGCTTCTACAGTGGATGCTTGGGTTGCGAACGTGATCTGTGCGAGATGCACGTCCATAACCCGCAGCATCCGCAACCCGCAGCGGCGCGTCTGCACACGCACGGGTTGCGATTCGGCGCTTCTGCGCATGCGCAAAGCGCAATTGAGCACTTCTGTGCATGCGAGACCGCCAAAACCCAGAAGTAACCCATTCCGGTACTTATGGGGTTCGGCAGTACGCAACCTGAAAAAATGCAACCAAAAGCATCTGTAACCCGAGGTATGACTGTATTGGGGGTTTTTTGGGGTGGGGATAAAGATGATCCAGGCTTGTTGCAGTTTTAAGGGGGAGGTGAGTAACACAGAGAACTAAACATTGAGCTCTGACTGCATTTTAGGGTACCAGCCATCGCCCTAGAGACCTGACATAGCAGCAACTATGCCTTTGGAGTATTTATTGTGTAGGCACACAACTTAAATGCTCCAAAAGGCAGCCTGTTGCTCCACACCCCACCTGTATATTTGTAAATAAACACAACTACTACAAAATGCCAGGGACCTCCTTCCTAAGGAAATAAAAGATTTTTTAAGTGTTGGGTCTTCAAAACTTTTCGCTGCTTTAAGAAGTGGATCAGGCTTAACAGTACTAACTTGGACTAAGTTACTGGGATGTTCTGGGCTCCATTCAAGGTGTGGAAGTGTTAACCTTCAAAGCCTCCTGCTTTGAGAGATGTCTGGGGTTTTTTTATGGATGATGAATACAATGTGCAATTAGCTGGATGTGGAAAAACCCAGTGCGTGCGACAATGATTTGCGTACCTTGCAAGAATGATTTGGACCTTTGGCAAGCAGAAAATGACATCTCCGCTTTTGCAGATAAGGATCTCCCAAACCCGCAAAGCTAGTGAATGGGAAAGGGGGAGGGGCAGGGGACGGGAGTGTCCAAAAGAATCTCGGACACGATGGTCACCCCACTTCCGTTTAAAAGCCTCCAATGAAGGAGAGGCGACCACCTGCCGAATGAGTCCTTCCCACTGTCGAAGAGCTTTTACTGTCAGAAAGTTCTTCCTAACGTTCAGTCAGAATCGCCTTCCTTGCAATGGGAACCCATCAGCTTGGGCTCTACCTGCCAGAGCAGCAGAAAGCAAGCTTGCTCCATCTTCTGTGTGACAGCTCTTCAAATATTTGAAGATGGCTAAGTCTTACCCAAGGGACGTGGGTGGCGCTGTGGGTTAAACCACAGAGCCTAGGACTTGCCGATCAGAAGGTCGGTGGTTCGAATCCCCCTGACGGGGTGAGCTCCCGTTGCTTGGTCCCTGCTCCTGCCAACCTAGCAGTTCAAAAGCACGTCAAAGTGCAAGTAGATAAATAGGTACCGCTCCAGCAGGAAGGTAAACGGCGTTTCTGTGCACTGCTCTGGTTCGCCAGAAGCGGCTTAGTCATGATGGCCACATGACCCAGAAGCTGTACGCCGGCTCCCTTGGCCAATAAAGTGAGATGAGCACCGCAACCCCAGAGTCTGCTGCAACTGGACCTAATGGTCAGGGGTCCCTTTACCTTTACTTAAGTCTTACCCAGAGTTGATTTGTAGAAATGGACAGGCCCTAGTTCATCACGTTCGCTCATTTCAGTGCGACTACTCAGGGTAGGGTTGATATTGGGTACAACCCAATGGGTCTACTCTGAGTCTACCTTGATACAAACCACAGTGTTTTCAAAAAACAACAACACATCTTCCGTTTGGGTTATTTCTGTATTATCAAAGCCTCCTGTGTGGAGGCAGATAGGGAAACTGGGGAGGTGATGAAAGGAAAGGCAGCTGTCTGTGTGGAGCTGGGGGAGGGAAAGGATTCTACCCCTTGACAAGAGGTGACAATGCAATGCTTTGCTGGCTGTCTCTGCATTTCTTCACTCGTCACTTTTGTCTGGGCTCAACTCTGTCCACCTCACCCCCCCCAAGCCCCCACCTCCAGACATGTTGTTTCGATCGCCTCACTCTTCTGCATCATTCCTTAGGCTGGCCATTTCTGCTTTCTCATGTTCAGTTATCTTATGGGACTGAGGCGTGGAATTCGCTGGCATGGGATGCAGAGATGGCCTTTGGTTTGCATAGGGTTGTAGCCAATGCTAGTCCACACTTGGATACCCAGTGTGATATATGAGGACCTAGGAGACCAGGATTCAAATCCCCAGGACCTAGCAGACCAGGACTTGAAGCTCATGGGGTGGCCCTGGCCAGTCACTGCCTCTCAGCATAATTACCTCACAGGTGTTGTTGTGAGGATAAAAATGAGGAGCAGGAGAAGAACTAGGTATGCCCCCTTAAGCTCCCTGGAGGAAAGGCGGGATGTAAATGAATAGAATAGAATTTCATTATTACGGTCACAGATCAGTTCCGGGTCACTTACAATATCAGGAAAATCATAAAACACAACAGGAATACATTGTATTGCAATTGGGTATAACAGAGGCAATTCAGATATAGCGGCAGTTAAAAAAAATATTTTAAATCTTGATCACTAAAATATAACCTAAAATTATCATTCAAAACCTTAATCATTTTGGTAGTACAACTTGTTCCCTAGGTTTTATGGCAGTCACACAGAATTTGGCAACCCACAGATGCACAGAATTTGGCAGGATGTAAATGTAATAAAGAAAGAAATAGATTCAAATTAACGGGCATGGCTCATGTACGTCCATTAACCTCAGTGGGTCTACTTTGAGTAGGACCTGGATACAGCCAGTGACTTTTAAGGGGAAAGGGGGCATTGTGGTGGGATAGGTTCTCCAACCATGATAGTGAAATGGGACCTTCCATGAAGGGCTGTTTCCTTCATGCCCTGCATTTGGGCTTCCCAAAGGTTCACCACTGAGGGAGTCAGGATTAGATGGAGCCTTGGTTCATTAGATGATGCAGGGCCCTTCTTACGTCCTTAGTTCAAAGCCTTGGGTGGCTTTAAAAGAGGATGGGGCAAACTGAGGGAGGGTAAGCCTATCAATAGCTCCTCGCTACAGTGGCTGTGTTGAGAACATAAGAAAAGCCTGCTGGATCAGGCCAATGGCCTATCTACTCCAACATCCTGTTCTCACGTTGGCCAACCATATGCATTTGGGGAGCCTGGAAGCAGGATCTGAGCACAAAAATACCTGCCCCTCCTCTGGTTTCCAGCAACGGGCATTGAGAAGCATTGCTGCCTCTGATCATGGAGGGACAGCAAAATCTTAATACAGTGGTGCCTCTGGTTACGTACTTAATTTGTTCCAGAGGTCCATTCTTAACCTGAAACCGTTCTTAACCTGAGGTACCACTTTAGCTACTGGGGCCTCCTGCCACCGCTGCACCGCCGGCATACGATTTCTGTTCTCATCCTGAGGTAAAGTTCTTTTTTTTTAAAAAAAAAAGCAATCATTTTTTAATTACATTTTTACTTTAACAATCCAATCAAATCACATTAAATATTCCAAATTATACATATACATATGCATATCAAATAATCCAAATATTCTGCCAAATTATAAAAATTTTTAATAGGACTTCCCATGCTTCAAGTTCGGAGGGTTCTGATCATCTGAGGTAAAGTTCTTAACTCGAGGTACTACTTCCGGGTTAGCGAAGTCTGTAACCCAAAGTGTTTGTAACCCGAGGTACCACTGTAGCTAGTAGCCATCAATAGTCTTTCTCTCCATGAATTTGTCTAATCGCCATTCAAGTCGGTGGCCATCATTGCCTCTTGTAGGAGCAAGTTCCATAGCTGAAGTGTGCTTTGCATGAAAAAGTACTTTCTGTTATCTGTCCTGCTGTGGGAGGCCCTATGGATACCAGTCACCAGGAATAAGTAGAATAATAGAATTGTATGGTCTAGTCCACCACCCCCCCCGCAATGCAGGAATATGCAGCTGTCCTATACGGGGATCGAACCTGCAACCTTGGCGTTGTCAGCACCATGTTCTGACCAGCTGAGCCAGAACAAGTAGGCAGAGCACGGTTGCACTCAAGGTCTGCTTGCTGGTGTTCCACGTCAAATGTATTGCCTGTCATTATAGGACTAAATCATGTGCATCAGAATAAAGGAAAGCAATCCATAAATACAGGAACAAAATTTAAGTATCCAACAGCTGAATAAAATGGAGGCATAGGGTGTGTGTACATGATGCACCACTGATGACATTGCTCACCTGGGGGGGCGGCGGCACCCTTTGATCTAAGGCCAGCCCTGGAAATGGGTGTGGATTCGAGCAGCGGCCCAAAGCGGCAGCCCTCTCCACCCACCCAAAAAAGCTTGCCGGGTCCTCCTTGCCGGTTTATAGTCCCATGTCAGCAAACCTCACAAGTGCTCCGGCAGTTGAAATGAGAAAACATTGGTCTGAGATCCGGTGTGGGTTTTCACTTTTTAAATGTGCTACCATTAAACTGCAGGAGTTCACAGGGCAAAGGGTTGCAGAGCGAACCACAGAGCTGACCACAACTTTACACGTTTGAAGCAGAGAGTTCTGTGTTTTGAAATTGCCAGCAGAGGGAGAGGAATAAACTGCGCCCTCTCAGAGCAGCGACTCAGAGCAGCAAGGAGTGTCGGGTTTTGTAAAGCAGGAAATTATGTTCAGCGAGGCAAAAAGAGTGCTACAATTGTGGAAAGAAGCCGTGTCCTCATAACCTTTAATGATTATTGTAATTTTGCAAGATTATTGCTATCGCCTCCTTTTTTTTCCTGCCAGCAAACACATCATCTGCTTTTTTCATAAGGTGCAAAGAAAGAGTAATATTTGCACCACAAGGTGGAGAAGCTGTGGCCCTCCAGATATTGTTGGATGCCAGCTCCCATCAGCTCCAGCTACAAATGGATGAATATGTCAATTTTGGGTTCTCTTTGGTCTTCATTTTTCTCCTTCTCCTCTACGCCCCCGGGTCAGACCTGACCCAGGAGCAGAGCTGCGGCTGGATAGCGGTGTTGAGCCGTCACACAAGGAAGCTGTCTCCATAGCTCCCTCGCTCACTGGAGCCAGGCTCCAATGAGGGAGCCTGTCGCCAGGGCGTCTTGCCGCGCACCCCCTCAAAAAAATGCACCTGGGGCCACAGAACCCCAGCCCCCCCCCACTATGCCACTGACAGGTCCAATGTCATCCAGCGAGCTTCATGACTGAGTGGGGATTTGAACCCTGGTCTCCCAGGTCAAAGTCCAGCACCCTAACTGCTACACCGCACCGGCTCTCTTATTGAGAAGGACTGCCAGGGTCTTGCCCTGTGTCTTGTCTAGCTGCAGACATTCCCACCACCCAGCAAACCCTGCTGTGACTGGGGCACTGATCCTGCAAGCATGCAGGAGGCAACCATAGTGTGGGGACGACGACAGTGGGAAAGTCCTTGGTGGTCCTTCACAACACTAATAATAAACCCCATAAAGTGCTGCTAAATCCAGGCAAAATAAATTCACCTTCTGGGTTTCCTTTCCTTTGCCCATTGGGTCGCTTGTCCCCTGCCTTATGAACTCTCCTCTCAACTTCATACAAAGTCCCCATTGTCAATGGACAGTCGTCTTAAGAAGGCCTTTGCTGAATCTGAGCGTGCAATAGGATGTCAGGCTTACGTTCCAATAAATAAATCAAACACACTTAAGACCCGTTAGACACCCCAATCACCTTCTTATTTTATTTTATTTTTAACCCTATGCCAAGCTAAGTTTTTATTGGATACACTCAACTGATCCTACAGTACTGTAATGGGTCTCTCTCTCTCTCTCTCCTCCCCAGTCCCCCCACCCCATTTTACGGACAAAAGACCTTTTCTTGTCTTCAAGGGCTGACAAGTTTATCCAAATATTCTCAGCTTAGTACTAGCCCCTTTCTGAATTGATCAGCTCAGTAAAAGGACACTTTGTACCTTTAACTCCCCCCCCCCACACACACATGAGGGAGACCAGCAAAGGGCAGTTGGTAGGGGGTGAGGAATGTGCTTAAACTGAAGGATGGTGTCAGACAGACAGAACTGGGGTATAACCACTCATCTCTTCCACTTTTCAAACTACTTGGGTAACCCACAGGAGGAGCAAATGGTATAATCAACAGTTCCCCTCCCAGCAAAACTCCCTTTCGCCTTTCAGGTTGGCACACTGTAGGTGTGGCCATTAAGTGTCAAATATATACAGTGGTACCTCGGGCTACAAACACTTCAGGTTACAAACTCCACTAACCCAGAAGTACTACCTCAGGTTGAGAACTTTGCCCCAGGATGGGAACAGAAATCACGTGCTGGCGGCACGGCGGCAGCGGGAGGCCCCATTAGCGAAAGCGCGCCTCAGGTTAAGAACGGTTTCAGGTTAAGAACAGACCTCCGGAATGAATTAAGTTCGTAACCCGAGGTACCACTGTATATATATTCTGGGATGAGAATTTTGCCCTGCCTTCCTCTTAGAGACGTACAAATGTATTAGTTTCAGTTTCTCATTGTTCCAGTCCTAACTTTAGTTCTGCACTTTTGCGCATCAGGTTTTTCTTTTGAAGTCCTAATCAAAATTGATAATCAATTTTAGTGCGCATCTCTCCTAAGCTACATGTTTTTGTATGCCATACATACCCGTTTTTGCAAGCACCCCCTTTCCCTAAAGGAAAACATTTTTGCATGTGATTTCCATGGACATGCACATTTTTTAGGCTCACTTTCTCCTAATATACAGTACAAGTGCATGTTATGTGCAGTTAATTTGTGTGGTTTCAACCACATGTAGTTGAAGGCAGGCTGGTTGAATCTGTGCACGCTAAACCCAAGCAAGGCTGAGAATCTCAGACCCCAAGTGCTGAGCAGGCCTTACCCCAAGCTCAAGGCAGAGAGTTTAAAGACTCTGTACATGCCAGGTCCCCTTGTAAGCTTTCTGCCCTGCTTGCTGGGCAAGGTCTACTTGCTATGTGAGCTCTGGCAGTATGTGGGATTCCCTCTCCCTCTCTCCCCCTCACCCACTAGCCGTGAAGGTGCCTCTGAGGGTTTGGGTATCCACAATTTTCATGTATACATGGAACCCTTGAAACAGAACCCCCATGTAAGATGCAATAGTACTGTACACATGTTTTGTATGCAGTCTTTGGAGAACTGCATTGCAAAATTTGGAGACCTGAGAAATCTTATTGAGACACTTTGCTTCCCTGGATGTTCTTCAGATGCTTCCCCCAAGCAGGAACTTGAGTCATTTTGTTTTAGGGAAGCAAAAGCAACTCAATATTTCCCCCCAGCTTTCTCCCAAGTATGGAGAGTCACTCCACCAATCTCAGAACCCCAAGGCAGTCCTGCCTAGACTAGCAGTCTGCTCTCACAGTTGCCATTCAGATGACTACGGGAAGCCCGTAAAAGGGACATAAGGGGAACCGTTCTCTCCTCTCATGTAGTTCCCAGAAACTGGTCCTCCTGATACAGGAGAAAGGATATAATCATCATTACAAGCAGCCATTGATGGCCTAATCATCCATGAATTTGTCAAATCCTCTTTTAAAACCTACCCAAGTTGGTGGCCATCACAACCTTCCCGGTGTGGGTGTGTGGAGTGCATTCCGTAATTTAACTATGTCTTGGGTGCAGAAATATTTCCTTTTCTCCATCCTAAATCTCCCAATCTTCAGCTCCATTGTATGCCCCCAGATTTTAGTATTATGAGGGGGGAGGGGAGTCTCTCTCAGACCTTCCAAGTATCCCTATTTTCTAGGGGCAGTCCTGGATTTACAAAAGCCATCCCAGTTTCTGATTTGATCCCAGAATCTCCAGCTTTTTCTTAGGACATCCCTATTTTCATTGGGGAACTGTTGGAGGGTATGGAGTTACGTGACCTCCGAGCCAAGGAGGTAAATAACTATGCAACCTTTAGAAGACATCTGAAGGCAGCCCTGTATAGGGAATTTTTTTTTAAAAAAAAGTTTAATATTTTATTATGTTTTTATGTATGTTGGAAGCCACCCAGAGTGGCTGGGCAACCCATTTAGATGGGTGAAGTATAAATAAAATTATTATTATTATTATTATTATTATTATTGTTGTTGTTGTTGTTGTTGTTGAATAGGACGTCCCTATTTTCATCTGTGAAATGTTGGAGAGCATGCTCTCTGTCCATGTTCCCCACACCACACATAATTTCATATACTTCTACCGTGTCCTCCTACTCCCATTCCAGGGATGCGGGTGGTGCTGTGGTCTAAATCACTGAGCCTCTTGGACTTGTTGATCAGAAGGTTGGCAGTTCAAATGCCCATGATGCGGCGAGTTCTGTCTCAGCTGCTGCCAACCTAGCAGTTCGAAAGCACACTAGTGCAATTAAATCAACAGGTACCACTGCAGCGGGAAGGTAAACAGCATTTCCATGCACTCGGGTTTCCATCACGGTGTTCTGTTGCACCAGAAGCGGTTTAGTCATGCTGGTCACTTGACCCGAAAAGCTGTCTGTGGACGGCCTGAAAGCGAGATGAGCACTGCAACCCCATAGTCGCCTTTGACTTAACCATCCAGGGGTCCTTTACCCTTTTTTACCTTTACCTTACTCCCGTTCCCCTGCAAACAAAAAACCCCCTAAATGCACCAATGTTGAAATCTTTCTGTTCTTCCTGCCTTTAGAAATATGGCAAATGGCTTTTCTTTTCAAGAAGAAATTGAACCTGCTTCATACCAAATCTATGCGTCAGCAGATAAATACCCATAAATCTCCCTGCCTCTGCCTTATTAGAATGGTTGCTAGGTAACTGGAACCAGGCCGGCCTCTCCTCCGGTACGTGTGCTGCCTGTCAGGGTCGGTCAACAGCATGAGTTGTTGGCAACGGTGTAGGGGTATCCCTGGGACCATGGGCCACAGGTGCAGCCATCGAGGCATTAGTCAATGATTAGGCCTCGTAAAATATATGAATAGTGTTTCTTTAAGAAGCTATAAAGTTTTATGGAGGAAAAAATCCATGTGTAAAGCATTTCGGTCTGCTCCATGGCTGGTCATTCAAAATTTCACTCGTTTCTGTC